AAAGGAAGGGAAGGAGGGAGGGGGAGGAAGAAAGGGAGGGGGGAGGGTAGAAGGAAGGAAGGGGAAGGAAGGAAGGAAAGGGAGGAAGGAAGGAAGGAAGGAAGGAAGGAAGGAAGGAAGGAAGGAAGGAAGGAAGGAAGGAAGCCGTGTTGGTGCTGCTGTTAAGAGTGCTGTATTGCAGGCTAATTCTGCCCACAGCCAGGAAGTTCGATCCTGACCGGCTCAAAGTTGACTCAGCCTTCCGTCCTTCCGAGGTTGGTCAAACGAGGACCCAGATTATTGGGGGGAGGGGCAAGAGGCTGACTCTTTAAACCACTTTGGAGAGGGTTGTGAAAGCACTATAAAGCGGCACATAAGTCTAAGGGCTATTGCTATGCCTCCCTCATTCTGAAATTTTGGGGAGTCTCTTCGCTGTCCTGCCTGCCCTTGAAAGCACTCACCAAAGCTGTGTATCCGAAAGGGTCTGGCTCATTAGGTCTCCCACAGCTGAGGACGTGTCTCTTGACCCCTTCTAGGTCTCCATTCAGCGCAGCGTTCCAGATCCCTACGCAAACAAATTTTATTTTAATTTTATTTTAGTAAACGTGGTACAATCCCTTCGCTGAGATTCAGAATAAGGAACACCTTAAAATTAGCTACCGGCTTTCCCCAATCAGAAATCTTGCCTATGTAGGAACTGTAACTCCCCAAATTCTCAGCTGCTACGGGGCTTGGGGAAGGTCGACAACCAGATCCATAGGGGAAGATTTCAATTAGCTACGAGTCTGTAGAGATTCTCAGTCCTCCATATTATGGTTCTCCCAAAGGTGCTTTTTCAGGAGGCAACTGGACTTTCTGGTTTTTCCTTTAAGACGTTTTGCTTCTCAACCAAGAAGCATCTTCAGCTCGGACTGGATGGTGGGGAAAGAAGGATTGCTACTCCTTGCAGACAGCTGGTCGTTTGCATCCTTTTCGAGGGTCGTTGAGGCCGCTTGGAGGTTTACTACTCAGTAGCACTACTCAGGTGAAATCCTGAGGACACCCATAAACCACCAGGTGGCCTTAATGACTTGCTAAAAGAATTCAAATGACCAGCGGTCTGCAGGGAATAAAAACCCTTTCATTCCCTACTATTCTGTCAGAGTTGAAGAAGCTTCTTGGATGAGAAGCGAAACATCTTCAAAAGGGAAAAACAAGAAAGTCCAATTGCCTCTTGGGAGAAAAAAACAACAAAAAAAGCACTTTTGGGACATTTCAATCAGCTGTTTTATGATTCAAGTCTCTATGAAAGAATCTTTGCAGACTGACCCATTTGCAACTGAGAGAGATTAGATAAAAGTTCAACAGCATTCAAAGGAGACTGGACTTCGCTCCTTTGTGCCCACACAGGGATTCCAAACTAGTTCTCTCTTTGACTCCTTCCCTGGCTTAGCCAACATCTACTCTCTCTTCAGATTGTGATTTAATCAAAACCCAACAAGTGTTTTTCTCTCTCCTCTCCTTTCAGTCCTTGATAACCAGTGGGAAGAAGGAAACTAGAGAAATTGAAAGATTGGATTTTGCAGGATTTTGACTATCTCAGAAAAAAACAAAAACCAACCCATACTGTCCAGCAATGAACGGACAGTAGGTGTTTAAAAACTTTCTCTTTTTAAAAGAAACAGAGATATATTTCCAAAAATACTTGTTGATGGAAATATAATTCCTATGACCGTACCACTGATGTTCAATGTAATGTGAACAAAAATTACCAAAGCCAAAAACAGTTGTTTTCATATTAAAAAAAAGAAAAAAAATATATGACTTGAAAACCTCCAGTTGATAAATCATAAAAATAAAAGGAAATAAAAAGGAAAACATCCCATAAAATATAAATATCTGACCTCTTTCTCACTGCTTCCTTCGCCAAGCAATTTGCAGTACCTGTCAGTATGAATTTTAGAAATCATGGTCTTATTATTATTTTTTCCTTGTAAAGCAAACGCATACCTTGAAGAAACACCACAAAAAAGTGTGTTGAGGTGACAAGAGTGCTGCTGTTTTGTATTTTGATTAAAAAATAAATAAAAATAAAAACCCCGCCTTTGGAACTCTCTGCCACAAGGAATCCTTATCTTGAGCCTCTGCAAGCTCCCAACTGCACTTTTCCCCAGCGTTTCCCATACCTCTCTCGAAATCCATTTCATCCAGAGTCTGGTGAACACTCTGCACTGAAGAGGGGTGGCAGGAACAGGTGCCGTCCTCGTGGCGTCCCGGTGACCAAGTCATCGGGGCTCTTTTCAGTCTTCTCACAAAGGTCTTTATTGGCAAAGGGGAAGAGGCGGCTCCGAGGTACGAATCCACCCTTTGGTTGACGGCCCCTGGACCAGCACAAGGTCTAGAAAAGGGAAGGTCGTGTCCAGAAGGAAGGTTTTCTACTCACTGGGGTCTGGAACAAAAAACAGAATTATGCAAGAAAGGCGTTATTATCTTAGCCTGCAATGACTGACCAATAACAGCACCTAACTTAACTGTTAGGAACAGTGTCCAGCCTCTTAGGAACTGCTGTATCTTCTCTAAAACTCTAAACCAGGAGAGAACATGATATTCTCTCTCTCTCTCTCTCTCCCTATCTCTTTTTCTCTCTCTCAATCTTTTTCTTCTCAATCTCTCTCAATCTTTTTATCTCAATCTCTCGATCTTTTTCTCTCAACCTCCCTCCCTCCCTATCTCTCTTTCTCTCTCTCCCAATCTCCCAATCTTTTTCTCTCAATTTATTCAATCTCTCTCTCTCAATCTTTTTTCTCAATCTCTCTCCCTCCCTATCTCTTTTTCTCTCTATCCCTCAATCTTTCTCTCAATCTTTTTCTCTCACTTTTTTTCTCAATCTCCTTCCCTATCTCTTTTTCTCTCTCCCAATCTTTTTCTCATTCTCTCTCCTTCCCACTCTTTCTATCTCTCAATCTTTCTCTCTCTGTCTCAACCTTTTCTCTCAGTCTCTCATCCTTTTTTCCCCTCAATCTTTCTCTCCCTCTTTTTCTGTCTCAATCTCTTTCTGTCTCTCAATTTCTTTTTCTTAATCTCTCTCTCTCTCTCTCTCTCACTGCTATCCCACTCAAATCACACACTCCAGCCACATTTGACAGTTTCTTCCTGTAACGTGATTTTTCTGCGTTCTGCAACGAATAATAATCCCCATTGTTAGTCTTGAAATAAGCTCAAATTGGGGTCACTGATGAGATGTTGAAGAATTAGAGTACCCAATTTAAAGCTTACCGAGTCTTCAAAGAATGGACTCAATTTGTTTTACCTAGCCATGGCTAATGCCCATTTTGAGCTATTTAGGAGAGAAAAGGGAGTGGGTTTTGCTACCTGTCAGCACACTCATGTCAGACCTCCTGCCTCCATTTAATTATAGCTCCTCTGCTCTGTTTTTTAGGAGTGGATGCTTTATTAAAGTGGGAAACGTGAATTACTAGCAGCCATCTAAGGCTCCTAAAAATTAACACCCTCCGTGTGTATCATCCACAAGTAGCCATTAAAGTCACCAGGGTATCTGCCGTTTTATATTCTGCAGCCATCGGCCATAAAAAGGAAACTTTTAGCACATTTTGCAGCAATCAAGGTGAAGTTCAGCGCTCAACTATTTACCACAAATACTAAAGTGTCTTGGTGCTTAAATCAGAGACGCTGGAAACCTGATGCAGAGTAAATCAGCACCAACTAATGAGGGAAATTGCTGCAATATAATGTAGCCATGAAAACAAAGAGATGCCTAACAGTTACAAGAAAGGCTATGCCAAATCTAGACAAAATATTAACACACAAACACAGGGGATTGAGCAGGGGGTTGACTAAAAGACCTCCAAGGTCCCTTACAGCATTATTCTATTTTATTCTATTCTATTCTATTTCTATTCCATTCCATTCCATTCCACTCTTACTCTATTCTATTCTATTCTATTTCTATTCTATTCTTCATTCCAATATTCTATTCTATATTCCAATATTCTATTCTATCCCTTAAATCTATTCTATTCTACTCTATTCTATTTTTTTCCCAATCCTTTCCTATTCCTTATTCTATTCTATCCCATCTTATCCTATCCTATATCCTATCCCATATCCTATCCTATCCTAGCTAGTCTACTGAAGGACCAGGGGAGACAGGATAGCAGTCTTCCAATATTCGAGGGGCTGCCCCAGAGAGGAGGAAGGGGTCAAGCTGTTTTACAAGGCACCCCAAGGCCAGACAAGGAATAATGGATGGAAACTGAACAAGGAGAGATTCAACCTGGAAATAAGGAAGAATTTCCTGACAGCGAGAACGATCAACCCAAGGAACAGAAGTTGTCTTCAGAAGTTGTGGGAGCTTCATCAATGGAGGCTATCAAGAAGAGACCTGGACTGCCCATCTGTCAGAAATGGAGTAGGGTCTCCTGCTTGGGCTGGAGGGGGGGTTGGACTAGATGACCTACAAGGTCCCTTCCAACTCTGTTATTCAGTTAAATCTGTTGAACTTTGACAAGATAGAAAGGTCACCTTTCTAAATCAAAACATCTGATCCGTAATCCCATATCCTACCCTATCCTTATTCTACTTTCTATTCTATTTATTCTAAAGAGAGGGTTGGCCAATTTTTTTTTCAGGGGTTGGAAGACAACCTCAACAGCAGGCAGCGAAACAGAGGACATCCCCCCTTGGCGCTTCTGGAGAGCGAGAGCGAGAGGTGGGCTGGGCAGGAAAGGCAGCGATTGCTATAAAACATGACTCCCCGGCCATGAGAAATCCATCTGCAGAATGGTTGCAATTTAAACTCAGCCCTTGAGCACCCTTAGCTGGCTCCAAAGCTCTCCGCAGAGCCAAATGCCAATTTGGGACTTGGATGGGGCACCACAAGGTAATCCTAAGGGAGGTGGGTTTTTTGTTTTGTTTTTTTAAATAAACACCTTGGACTGTCAAAAAGCATTTGCACATTAAAATAAATGCCCCCACCTTCTACCATCCTCCCTGCTGAGTTATGGCAGACCAGTGAGATTCCAACTCCCCTCTTTAGTCCATGCTGGCTGTGGAGGATGGGATTGGCAGTCCACCATAGGGGAATAACTACACAAGCCAATTTTCAAGGATACTACGGCTCTACCCTTAATAATTCTTGCAGGGGGGGTTACAATGCTCTCGCCCCCCCCTTTCAGTTAAAGACACGTGAAAATGCAGTCACACGCCCCTAAAAAAGCAACGCACCCACCCACGCCGGTCTTACAGCCGCCATCTTGCCTCCTTCCGGATAATGAAAGGCGCTTCGTCCAATCGAAGACGAGAGGACGGGCACAGGCGACCAATAAGAAATTTCCGAGGGGCGGAGCGAGTTGTATTGCCAGCAATGACTCCGCATAGCCACTAGGGGGAGCTGGGAACTCAGGGATGGTCGTTAGAGGAGTGATCCGCCTCTTGTCTCCTTCCAGAAACCGGGTTAATTCACAAACTAGGTTAACCTTGTGTAATAATAATATATAATATATATATATATATATATATAATGCTATTTCTGACTTTTGTTGTTGTTGTTTCATCCCCTCTTGTGATTGCTGCTCAAGCTGGGATGAGCAGCCCGGTTCTTTGGGGTAACATTTCCAGCCCTGCTAATTTTATGAACCCCCCAATTTCGTTTCTTTAGTCGAGTGCCACTAAAATTTAGCAGGGCAATGTTATGCATGCAAAAAAAAAAAAAAAGCAAACTGAGTTTGGTGTCCTCCCTGGGTTGCTTCTTGGAGCCCCATAACCCACCTCTCCCCAAATATTGCCCCTTCAGATCACTTTTATTTATATTTTTAACAATAAATTTTATTGTTCTTTTTCACCTTTTATACACATTGATCTTCATTTTAACAGTACTGTGTCATCATACTGTGTCATCATTATTACACAAATTGTTATACAAATCAATCTCAAGTAAATATCTACATTTATATACCTTTGTATACATTCATATACATTTATCTATAATCACTTTTAGATTCACAGAATTGGAAGGGACCTTGTAGGTCATCTAGTCCAACTCCCCTCCCCTCCAAGCAGGAGATTCTATACCATTTCTTCAGTGACATCAGCCATCTCTCAGCCCAGCAGCCGTTTGGGGGAAACTGAGTCATCTATTCCCCAAATTTATTATACCTGTCCCTAAATATTAGAGCCTCCACCTGCCCCCTCCTGGTTTCTTCAAGGATTCCTTTTGATAGCTCTGCTTAAATTGAGTTTCTCCAAACATCTGGAGGAATTTGTGTCAAAGTTGGAAGGACCTTCATCCCTGGAAGCTTTCAAGAAGAGACTGGATCGCCATCTGTCGCAAATGGTGTAGGGTCTCTTTGCCTGGGCATGGGGTTGGACTAGATGACTTACAAGGTCCCTTCCAACTCTATTAATCTGAATGTCCTATCATCCAAAACACCAGCTGAGATAATGGGAGAGGGAATACGGACCACAAAATGGAGGAGAACCAACCTGCAATTGGACCCCCAACAAGCCCTCTAAAGCAGTGGGCTGGGGACCACCGGTGGTCCACAAGAAAATTTTGGTGGTCCGCAGAGAAATGTCACCCCCAAAGTCCCCCTCAAAGCAATGAATCCAAGCTGCGCGGGAACACAAGGCTGCGCTACCCACATTGCCCACAGGAACACAATGCTTGTGTCGCATTGCGAACAACACGAGGGAGTGAGGGGAGGGGGGAAAGGACGGAGGGGGGGGAACTTGCCTCACTCACCCCACGTGCCTGGCCTGGCCACCGGGCTGCTTCTTTCTGCTTCTTTCTTCTTCTGCTTTTGGCTGCACGCAAGGAAAGCAGCAAAAGTCTTTCTTTCTCTCCCCCAAACTCCACCAGAAATGAGTCTTTGGGACCCTGCAAGGCCTCCTGCCCCAAGAGGCTGCGCCGGCACGACAAGTCTCACCAAGACTCATTTCTGGCAGAGTTTGGGGGGAGAGAAAGAAAGACTTCTGCTGCTTCTGCTGCTTTCCTTGCATGAAGCCAAAAGTCTCTCTCTCCCCCTGAGATCGGAGCTGGAAACAGTATCCCGCAATCCCAAATAAAGAACAATCGATCAGTAGGAAAATGGGGTGGGGAATTTTCCTGCAGACTTTTTTGGGTGGGATTTTCCCAGAGTCTCTGGACCGCGGGATTTAAAATTATGAGTTTGGTGGTCCTTGTGGTCCAAAAGGTTGGAGACCGCTGCTCTAAAGACCGAGGGTGACCACGTGACATTCACACTTGCAGAAACCTGAATGAACTCTGCTGTCCATCGCGGTGTGAGCGGCGTGGCTCCCACGTGGCCTTTTCTGTCTATAGGAGACTCAACCTTGACCGCAAAGCAGCAGACGTTCTCTGGCCGAGCCAGAAACCAGTAATTTTACAGCTTCCCACTTTAATTAAAGCGACTGGATTGCTTAGGTAAGCGTAGGATGTTTTCCAGCCAGACAGGTTGCTTGCTCAGTTACCAGGTCTTGGCAAGGCCAAAAAAAAACCCCTCATTGCAGGGTGATCCAGCGGTCAATTGTATACTTTCCGCTTCGGTGGCGGAAAAAAGGGTATTTTTGCATCCTCCATAGCACCTGGTTTTCTTCCTGCTTTGGGACACAGGTGTGTGTGAGAGAGAGAGAGAGAGAGAGAGGGGGGAAAGCAGCTATAAAATACAGAATAACAAAGTTGGAAGGGGCTTCCGGAGGTCTTCTAGACCAGCCCCCTGGTCTACAAAAGGAAATAGAAAAGATGAACTTTGTGCTTGAAGTGGAAAAGAACGAAACTTTGGTTTGGGGTTTGACCAAGTAGATTGCCCGATCTTTACAAAAATAGCCCGTTCATGTTATTATGGAAAAGCCAAAAGTTGAGATGTGATGTTAATGCCTTATTTTACTGCAACAGAAATGCTTTTTCTATTTTCTATTTACTTTTATACTCTCATTCAGGAGAAGACCCTATACCATTTCAGACAAACGGCTGTCCAGCCTCTTCTTAAAAGCCTCCAGCGATGGAGCAGTCATAACTTCTGGTGGCAAGCTGTCCCACTGGTTAAGTGTTCTCCCTGTTGGAAATTTCTCCTTAATTCCAGGTTGCTTCTCTCCTGGATTAGTTTCCGTCTGTTTTGCCTTCTTGTCTTGCCTTCATGTGCTTTGGAAAATAGTCTGACCCGCTTGTCTTTGTAGGAGCCCCTCAAATATTGGAATGGTGCTATCATATCCTTCCTTTCATTAGACTGGACGTACCCAATTCTTGTAACTGTTCTTCATATATTTTAGCCTCCAGACCCTCCCAAATCATTCTTGTGGCTCTTCTCTGCACTTTTTCCAGAGACTCATTTTCTTTCTAATTTCTAACTGTTTTCTTTCTAATGTTTTCTGGTAGACTGTACTGGCTGTTGGATTCACCCCAAAGACAAGAGGCTCTGGAAAACAGTATTTGGTAGAGAAAAGGCTGGACGATCATTACTGGAGCAATTTATTCTAGATTTAATTTCACCTTTAGAACAGAAATCCTCTCCCACCAAAGCCCCCTTCCCACAGACCCCCAGAAATCTTATGACTGTAATAAAGCTTTGCGGTCATAAGCTGAGGATTAATATCTAATCAACATTGTATAGGCTCCTCGCTACCCAAATAATACAAGGTATTATTTATGTTTCAAATCAATGCTTTGTCTTTTATTGTAACACTATATATATATATATTAAAAAAGAAAAATGAAAGAAGAAAACAAGTACCCAATTTGGATCATTAGATACCATCCAGAATAACATCTTACTGAGATGGGTGGCCATATAAATTTAACAAATAAAAATAAAATAAAATTAACTTCATAAACTCAATAATCTATATATGCATATAAAAGCGGAATACCACTAACGCATCATCACAAAATCTCCAGAACCATAAAGCCTGCAAACTTGAAATTTGGCACGTATGTTCCTCTTGGCTTCTAGGGGCTCACTAAGAAAGGATTTTTCCAAATGACCCTCAGAGCATTTAGAGTTATTTCCTATATTATTATGCTAAGGAGTTCTACTCCCCCTCCCCCACACCTGCAAAGAAATCTCTTCCAAATGCAAAACACAAGCAGAGGAGAGGAGTTTCAGTTTCACAGCAGCACCAAACAGCTTTAGTACAGAACAGTTGAGCTAAGCCACGCCCAGGCTCCTTGCTGTCTCCTTGCTCACACAGCAAATACTGTTTCAGTTTGCAGACAGCCCTCAACTCTCTCACACACTGACAGGACGCTAGCCAGATGAATACTGATGGATGCTAGTAGGCAGAGGCACAATTTTTCCCCTTATTTTCCTCCCCAAAAACTAAGGCCAACCCACATAGTTCCGTAGCGAAGCATGGATATTGAGCTAGTGGGAGATATAGGACAAAAATGTCCAGACAGAGCATAATAAAAGACATAGCCAGGTGCTTTCCCAAGGTCAAAAAAGTCAAGATGGCACCCACAATGGAACAATCACAACTTTGCTTGCTTTTTATGGGCGATTTTCTTCGCGCCATCCTGCAGAAACCTCTCAACTCAATTCAAGTTTAAAATGTGGATTTGATTCTCATTTTGGGCCACCAATCTGGGCGGTTAAAAGGAATTGTTGGAGGATAAGGATTTTTACTGGACTTAATAAAGACATCTATATATATATTGCATCGGTTGCTGGGGAACGTCAGCAGTTGATTCCGTGATATAAGTAGCAATTTCTTTTTATTTTGGTTAATTCTATTTATATTCTGCTCTCTGTGTGTGATGAAGCACCAGGCTTGGCGAAACATGCTCGAAAAACAACCCAACATGAAGTCCAATCACCAGGCTTAAATTTAAAAATCAGTAAATGGCAGAGAAAAAAGATGTTTTCCCTCGCAGAGCCAAACTAGATTAATGTAAGTGACCTTCAACCACTTCAGCAAATCGAAAGAAGGAATCGAAAAACGAGCCCACCTGAGTACAACTCTTGAGGAAATCAAAAGACACAGAACAGAATTTATTGAAGAGGGAATACCAGAATGTATAGCTGAGGGGAAAACCGAGATGGTACTCAGCCAATTCGGACCGGTTCTGGGAAACGGTAGCAGAAATTTGGAGTAGTTTGGAGAACTACACCACCTACAGTTGGACTTAAGCGTAGTACACAAAATTATCTGCTACAATGTCCTGCTAGTCAATGGCTACTTCAGCTTCAACCAC